CTCCTCCTCGTTCTCCTCCTCCTCCTCCTCCTCCTCCTCATCCTCCTCCTCCTTCCCCCCTCCAGCTTATGGTGGCGCAGACGGCCCCGCTGCGCTGCGCTGCTCGCTTTGTTTCTTTGAGCTCAACGCGCGCACAGCCGAGCGACAGAAACAAGCCAGCAGCCCCAGACCTCCTCGCGTCGTGAAAAAATCTCGACGGGAGGTTTTTCGCTGTTTTCGCCCTCTGGAGGTCCTCAGCGGGCCTCGGGGCCGTCAAAAAACGACTCGGGATGAAAAACCGGTCCAAGGGAAAGGGTCCAGACCTCTGGGGGTCGACGCCGTGAAAAAATCACGACGTCGGGGGTCTGGGGCGGTGGCTGGGGAACCACTGCTGGTAGTGAGGGCGACCTCACTGACTGAGAGGGTACCTCCAGCAGCCCCGTGGGCTAGGGAGGCACTGACCACGCGGCGGGCGCCCACCCCGTGGTCGGCAAGAGAAAAACAATCCAGCGCCTCAGCAGGGCAACGGTCGGGGAGGGCAAATCCTCCCCCGTCGCGGCTTTGGGGGGGCCGCGGGGGGGCCAAACCTGGGCGCGCAACCAGCTGCTACTGTTTTGTTTTCAGACATCTGGGGACCCATCTGTGCCCGCACCAAAGGTCGCTCCGGCGAAAGGTCACTCTTGCAACTAGTCGACTTATGCGGGGCGGGGATTCGCCCGCCGGCCAGAAGAAGTGGGCAGCTCCTGGGAGGCAGGGGGGTCGTCGGAAGCCGGTCGGGCTGCCGCCCGCCCCCCCGGCCGAGGAGGGGGGAAGAGGCAAGGCCGCTCGACTCCCGAAGTGGGCGGCGCCCGAGGCAGATTCGGATCTGGGGCTCCAAGAAGATTCCGAGTTTCTGAATACGCGTCGGGGGGGCGTCGCCCCCGCCGACAGCCCCACATCGGCCCCCGTCGCGGGCAGCCGCCGCGCGCCGAAGGCGCTCCGACACCCCGTCGCGGCGCGACGACGAGGTGAGGTTGACCCCCGTCGGGGGTGTACCCCCCCACGCTTATTCAGAAACCCAGCGTATCCACTTTCCACGACCGAGGAGCATCCATAAGGTAGGTTCGTGCGGCGGCGGCGCGTGCGAATGTCTTTGACACCGCATCGATCGCTCAACCTTGAATCGATCGCGGCCCCGATCGTTCAAGGCTGAATCCCACCGGGTCCAACGGACGGCGTCACCGCGTCCCTCGGTGCCTCCGCGTCGCAGAGTTCTGCCCTGAACGCCTTCGCCGGCGTCGACCCGGCGCGCCGACACCACGTGAGCTTACCGCATCCATGTTCACCGCCACCGCCGCCTGAGAGCCGACGTCCAGGGGACCCAGCGGGCTGTGAATACGGATCTATATATATATATATATATATATATATATATATCCTGGAGACCCGAGTCTATCCATATCCACCGCCTGTACAGGTCCGAGAAGGTCGATCCCCCAGGCGGCGGTTATATGATACATCCCCGCCTCGGATCTAGCCACACTGCTGCTGTTTCCTCCTTGGGCGGCGTGCGTCCGACCCGAACATGTGGTGCAACCATCTTGCACTGTGTCGTCTTCCATTCGGCATGGCCGTATGGCCAGAGAGCGCCCGCCGCGGAGCCGGAACTGGAAGACTCCTCGGCGCGCGCGTCGCACCTGGGAGGGGGGGGGGGGGGGGGGGGGGGGGGGGGGGGGCGGGCGCGCTACGTAATATTGGCACGATTTCGGGCAACGCCGATGTAGCCCACTTCCCTCGGCTCTTCCAGGAGCTGGCCGCAGAGTTCTCCTCCTCCTCCTCCTCCTCCTCCTCCTCCTCCTCCTCCTCTCAACCTCCTCACTCCTCTTCCTCCTCCCCCCCCCTTTTTTAATAAAACCCCCGTCGGGACTAAATTTCCATGAAGACCAGAAAGAAAAAGAAGAAAAAGAAAGCATAAAAAAAATAACAATAAAAGAAAAAAAAAAAAATACGAGAAAAGAAATAAAAGAGGAGAGTAAAAATGACCAGATAAAAAATACAAAAAGAAAGCTGGCGCGAGAAAGCAGACGGGTCCCGAAGGGAACAGGTCCTGGCCCCCGGGGCCCCCTCCCTTCGGACAGGTTCCTCGTGCGGGGTCGTCTCCAGACCATCCCGGGGCCCACCACAAGCCCAGGGAGGCCGAAATCGGGGAAGCTCAGACCCCCAAGGTCATGATTTGTTCGTAACGTCGACCCCCAAAGATCTCGACCCATTCCCTGGGACTGGTTTTCCACCTGAGTCGTTTTTTGGATGTCCCGAGGCCGGTTAAGGGCCCCCAGAGGTCGAAACCATGGAACAACTGCCCGTGGGGAATTTTAAATGACTCGAGGGGGCCTGGAAAGGTCTCGAGGGGGTCGTCGTCGACGTCGTCGTGGTCGTCGTCGTCGTCGTCGTCGTCGTCGTCGTCGTCGTCGTCGTCGTCGTCGTCGTCGTCGTCCGCCGCCGTCGTCGTCGTCGTCGTCGTCGTCGTCGTCGTCGTCGTCGTCGTCGTCGTCGCCGTCCAGGACCCGCTTGCCTCGTGGCGACCCCAGGGGGGCGCCAGGAGCTGGGCCCCGGGTCCTCGTTCACCTCGAAGCGCCACCCGCTCCGGTCGTCCCGCATCACCCGCACCTGGCGGCACGCCGCCCCCGCAGAGGGGGGGGGGCCTCGGGAAACCCAGGCCCCCTCGCACGCGGTGAACGAACACCGCGACAGGGGGCTCCTCCTCCTCCTCCTCCTCCTCCTCCTCCTCCTCCTCCTCCTCCTCCTCCTCCTCCTCCTCCTCCTCCTCCTCCTCTCCCTCCCCTCTCCCCCCTACCACCCCCGCCCCCTCCCCTCCTCCTCCTCCTCACTCCTCCGCCTCCTCCTCCCTCCTCCTCCTCCTCCTCCTCCTCCTCCTCCTCCCTCCTCCTCCTCCTCCTCCTCCTCCTCCTCCTCCTCCTCCTCCTCCTCCTCCTCCCCGTCGGCCACTTTCGGCTGCCGGGGCCCCATACAGGGTCCCAGGACCGTGAACCAAGAGACGCAGGATGAAAAACCGGTCGCGGGGAAGAGTTCCAGACCTCTGGAGGCCGACGCTGCGAGAAATAACACGGCGTTGAGCAACCTTCTCCATCCGTGCCTCTTTCAAGTTTCATTGCTTTGGGCAGGCGCTTACGATGAGGTATGTTCGCCTCGCTGCCCACCTCCCTTCTTTTCCCCTGGCGGGGTTCGGAGGAGGAGGAGGAGAAGAGGAGGAGGAGCAGGAGGAGGAGGCGGAAGAGGAGGAGGAGGTGGAGGAAGAGGAGGAGGAGGAGGAGGGAGAAGGAGGGAGAAGGAGGGAGAAGGAGGGGGAGGAGGCGAAGGAGGAGGAGGAGGAGGGTGGCTGGTGGCGGCAGCGGTTGTCTGCGCCACCCAGCCCACCCCAAGTGTGCGAGAACAGCGAGACGCTTCGTCTGACGGTCGCCGACGACGCACGCCATCCCTCCACTCCTCTCCTGCGGGGGAACGGCAGGGCGGGCTGGGCTCGCAGGGGGAAGCATGGCCTGGGGATCGGCGATGCCTCTCGGGTAGATCGGCGACAGGCCCTCGACAGCGAAACCACGCACCGGGGCGGGAAAAGGGGGTCCACGCCCCGATCGGCGACGAACAATGGGCGATTCATTGGGAGTCGATGCTCTCCCCCCTGGGCCAGAACCCCCCAAATATCACTACCCCTGATCTACAGGAAGAAGACACAGCATACACATAAACTGTTGGCGCTCCGCGCGTACTTTTTGGGTCCGCGCTGGGAGGCCAAGAAGAAATACGCGCGGAGCGCCAAAAGTTCCCCAATCAGAGCTTGCCTCTGTGGGGGCCCTAGCGGATTCATATGATTAGGTGAGGTGTGCCGCCGATTTCGGTGGCCGGCCCGGGTGCCCGGGTGCCCCAGGGGGGCCCAGGGGCGGGCTGGGGTGCCCCGGGGGTGCCCCGGGGGTGCCCGGGTGCCCAGGTGCCCGGTAGCCCTATAGCCCTATAGCCCCATAGCCTTCTAGCCTTACAGCCCTATATAGCCTTAAAGCCCTATAGCCCTATAGCACTAATAGCCCTCTACCCCATATAGCCTTATAGCCCCATAACCTCGTAGCCCTATAGCCCCATAGCCTCATAATCCTACAGCCCTATAGCCCTATAGCCGTATAACCCTATCACCCAATAGCCCTATAGCCCTCAAACCCAATACCCCATAGCCGCATAGCTATGGGGCTATGCTATGATACATGCGATGCTGTGCTATGTTATCAGTATCCTTATGATGTGCTATGCTTTGATATGGTATGCTGTGCTATGCTATCATTATGCTATGCTATGCTGCGCTATGCTGTGCTGTGCTATGCTGTGATATGTTGTGTTATGCCATGCCATGAATGCTGCGCGATGCAACGCTATGATATCATTATCCTCATCAGGTCCTAGCATGCTGTGCTGCGTTGTGCTGTGCTATGCGATGCTATGCAATTCAGGCCTTGATGGCATGATGTGTGATGCTTCCAATAACTCGAACAAACCTAAGAAATCCAAGAAACCTTTTAAAACCATCATGAACTCGTATAGACTACGATGATGTGATGCAACTTTCTCGCGGAAGGCATGGAAGGTGGAGACTCAGGGAACCCTATAGCCCCATAGCCTTCTAGCCCTAAAACAAGTCGGATGGGGGCTTCTCTCGGGTACCATTTATGCTTTTATGCCGTCTCTCTTCGATGATCTCTCCGTTCTCCCTCCATCCCCCTCTGCCTCGCCTCAGTGCCTGCCAGACAGACCGGAGGGGACCCACCAGGCGGCCTGGTGTGCTCGGCCCCAAGGCCCAAGGGCACCAGTTGAGCCTGGAACCCACGGGGCCGGCGGGCGGGCACAGCCCAAAATACGTCGGGTGCCCACGTTCGAAAGCTGGGCGAGGGCTGCTATAAAACCGTGGCTGCCAAAACGGCCCTCTCCCGGAAGGGAAAAAACAACTTCCCGGAATGAGGCGCGGCGCGCGAGACAGTCAACGGGCTTCTTCCCGGAAGGACGAAGACACTTTCCCGGAGGTCGATTTTAGCAGCCACGGATTTAGCAGCCCTTGCCCGGCTTCCGACATGTGCCCAGACGTCCGGCTGCTCCAATTTCTTCGATGCGTGGACCCTGGAGGTCCGGACCACCTCCGTAGGGCCGGGTTTTCATCCTGAATCGTTCATGTCGACGCTCCCGAGGCCTGGCGAGGGCCCCCGGAGGCCAAAAACTGCCAAAATCTCGCCGCTCCATTTTTGGGGGAGCGTCGGATCTCTGGGTGAGCGGCAGCAATCGGTCCCCCGAATTCCGACCGCGGCACCAGCTGCATCGGAACCCCCCTCGGCGGCAGCCGCTGGCCCCCGCGCCCGTGGCTCCCGCGGCCCCCGAGGCGCCCGCTGCCGGGCGGCGAGCCCCGCGGCAGTGCGCCGCTGCCCAGCGCGCTGCTGCCGCCCGTGCCCAGCGCGCCGGCGCCGCGCGGCAGCGCGCCGCTGCCCAGCGCGCTGCTCCCGCCCGTGCCCAGCGCGGCCGCGCCCCGCGGCAGGGCGCTGCTGCCCAGCGCGCCGCTGCCCAGCGCGCCGCTGCCCAGCGCGCCGCTGCCCAGCGCGCCGCTGCCCAGCGCGCCGCTGCCTAGCGCGCCGCTGCCGGGCCGCAGGCCGCCGCGGGGTGCCGCCGAGCCGGTGGCGCGGGCGCGGTCGCCGAAGCTGGGCGTGCCGTTGCCGTAGACGGGGGGGGGCTCTGCCGGCGCGACGGGGCGCGGCGGCCGCGCCGGGGCCGAGGAGTGCGACGAGCCGACGGACTCGCGCGGGTCGCGGTCGCTCAGGTCCGTGCGGTCGCGATCGCGCGAGGTCGCGTCGAGCAGTTCCCGCAGAGGCGGGCTGGCCACGGAGACGGAGGACTGCATGGACTCGTCAACCTCGCGGATGGGCTGCAAGTTCGGCGCGATGGTCGCGGCGAGGGAATCCGCGCCCACACCCGCCTGCGCCTTCGCGCCACCAGGCCATCTGATCTTGTCTGGCGCCACGTTCGGCTTGCAGTCCTCTCTTCCCTCCTCCTCCCTCCTCCCTCCCTCCCTCCCTCCCTCCCTCCCTCCCTCCTCCTCCTCCTCCTCCTCCTCCTCCTCCTCCTCCTCCAACTCCTCCTCCTCCTCCTCCTCCCCTCCCTCCTCCTCCTCCTCCTCCTCCTCCTCCTCCTCCTCCTCCTCCTCCTCTTCCGTCCTTCTCCTTCGTGATTTTGAAGACGCCCTGTTGTTTCCAATGCCACTTTTAGCGCGGTGTGTTGGAAACCATATTGTTTGCGTTTTCAAATCCCAGCGCGAAATAAACAAGCTAAACACGTGGTGTATTTTTGGCGCATTCAAACCAGTTGAACGATATCGTGCTCGAATCGGTGGTTTGCCATGTTTGGGGCTGGTGCGACTCTGGGGCCTGTTTTGTGCCAGTGTCAGATGGTGTCAGGGCGCGCGCTTTGTTTTTACAACGATCAGCTCTGCACAACCTGGCGGACAAGAAACAGCACTACGTTACCGATGATCCCCTACACATTTGATGTATGCCTGGTGTGTTGATGCAATCATTCGACGCACTGCCACGCCTGCCACGCTTTTTTTAAACAAAAAAAAACACGCCTGCCACGCTTTGCGAGCCTGGAGCATACAGGGCCCCCACCGTGCCGACATATTGCAACGCTTGCCACGCCCCGCGAGCCTGGAGCGTGCAACGCGCCTAACCCCATGCGCGCTCCCTCCGGTGGCAAGGAGACGCCACGCCTGCCGCGCGCCGCGAGCCTGGAGCGTGTGGGGCACCCGACCCCTGCACACCCCCACTGGTGTCGAGGAAAGAGAACTATACACATACACCGACTCTGGCCAGGCCCATCCTGAGCCCAGGACCGGTGCATACGCCCTCCTGCCTTGGCCAGGAAGGCATATGCACCGATCCTGGGTCAGGGATGGGCCCTGCCAGGATCGGTGCATGTGCATAATCCTCTTCGCCCGAACTGGTGTCGAGGAGCGGCCAAGCCCGCCGCGCCCTGCGAGCCTGGAGCGTAGAGATACCGCGCTCAAGGCCGCCCCCCCCCTGCCCCCTGTGAGCCCCCCCTGGACAACGAGGAGGCGGCACGCCTGCCGCGCCCTGCGAGCCTGGAGCCTACACACAACACACACACACATATATTTATATATATACATATATATATATACATATATATATATATATATATATACGACTGCAATGGCGCTTCGCGCCACGCAGTCTTGTTCCGGACCCTCCTCGCGGCAGAGCAATAAATGATCGCTCGCTTCACCACGGGGTACCTCGAGGCCTGGGCGGGCGACCGGCGCATTTGTCTGATATCCCTGGTGCCTGCTGACACCGCGCTCGCCCGACGCGCTTGCACGCTTGTGCGCAGGAGTGAGGAAGGAATAATGTTTTTTCACGCGCGAAGGTCCTTTGAGGAAGTAATGAACGTTCCCACGACACGCCGAAGAAGTCGCAATAGCTCCGAACAAATCGATGTTTGGTCGTTTCTTGAATGCCTGGGGGGCTCCAGGCACTCACGAAATCTTCGATCGTCAAACTTCGAATCTAAATCCATTGCCTTTCTCTCTCGATCGAGGAACTTGAACCTCGAGCCTCAAGTGTGGGTGAATGTATATATATAGAAGCAGCATATAGACACACACACACATCATACACGCAGCTTATATACACTATAAATGTATACACATCATCTATACATACATACATACATACATACATACATACATACATATATATATATATATATATATATATATACTAGAACCATCGCGCGCGCTTCGCGCGCGCTCAGGTTCCAGCCCAGGCCGGGGGGGCGCTGGACGATCTTGGACGTCGCTATCAAGCACAGGCGCGCGACGGCATCTGAGGAGCTTCTGGGGTGTTCCGCATGCTTCGTCAACTGGCTGTTGGAGGCACCTCTTGGGTGCTTCTTGGGGGGGCGTCTGAGGGTCCCTTGGGGGCATCGGTTCTGCAATCTGAAGCCGTCATTGGCCGTCTTGGCTGCGTGGAGGCCCGACTTGAGGCCACCTGCGGCCAGATTGAGGCAATCCGGAAGCCTCCCGGGGGCCTCCTGGAAGCAGTTTTGACGCATCGAGGGCACTCTTGGGCTATTTTTGTTGACGTCTCCTAGGGGCCTTTTGGGCCCTCGGGAAGCTTTTGGCGTCCTCGTCGGACCACTTGAGGGCCTCTTGCGGCCTCCTGTGGGTCTTTTGGGGGGAACGCTCTGCTGTTGGGTCGCGTTCCCCTTCTTGGGCCTCTCTTGGGGCTCTTGGGGCCCTCTCGGGCCGTCTTGGGCGCCTCAAGCACCGTCTTGGGGCCCTCGCGGGCCGTCTTGGGGCCCTCTTGGAGGCCTCTTCCTCCATATTGGAGCGGTATTGGAAGCCTCTTGGGCCGTCTTGGAGCATCGGGATGCCAAAAGGCCGAAAACATAAAACCCGTCAAAGCCCAATCGTAAAACAATGAGTTGTGCCTCTTGGGGCCACCTTGGGAGATCTCTTGGAACCTCGTCGGCCCTCTTGGGAGCTTCTTGGGGGCCTCTTGGATCCGATTGGGGGCCTCTTGGGACTTACCGAGAACCTCTCGGGGTAGAAAGCTCGGATTCTCGGTTCGTGCTTCCCTTCTTGGGGGTCTTTGTTGGGCCTCTTGGGGAAGCTTGGGCCTGTTGGGGGCCTCTGTAAGAGTCCTTGGGGCCTTTCGGCGGCAGTTTTGGAGCTTCCTTTGGCCGTTGTGGGCGTCTCTGGGCTCGAGCTGAGGCCCCCTCAGGCCGTCGTCGGGGCCTTTTGAACCTGGTTGGAATGGTTAGGGGGGCGTCTTGGTCCGTGTTGGAATACCGAAAAGCGCCAAACCCGTAAATCTTAGGAATGCACGTTTCCTCTCAGGAATTCGACGATTGTGGCTTCTTGAGGGTCTCTTCGAGAGCTTCTTGGGGGAGCTCGTAAAAGCCAGCAGGCCTTTTGGAAGCTATTGTGGTACTTTCGGGAGCCTGGCGTGGGCCTCTTGGGGGGGCTGGAGCCTGTTGGGGGCCTCTGTGGGAGTCCTTGGGGCCTTTCGGCGACAGTTTTGGAGCTTCTTTTGGCTGTCTTGGGTGTCTCTTGCGTCGATTTGGGGCCCTCTTGGACCGTCGTCGGGGCCTTTCGGGCCCGGTTGGAACAGTTAGGGGGCGTCTTGGTCCGTGTTTGAATCCCGGAAGGCGCAAAACCCGTGCATGTTAGAAATGTGTGTTTCTCCATCGGGATTCGCCGGTTTTGGCCTCTTGGGGCTCCCTTCGGAAGCCTCTGGTGGGTTCCTCGGGCCGCTTTGCTGCGAACCCGGGCTCCCTCAACGACCGGGTCACGATGTGGATTGCTTTGGGGAGCGTCCTGGAGCCGTCCTGGGCCGTCATGGGCATCTCTTGGAGCCATATCAAGGCCCTGTTGGGCCATCTTGGCGCCCGCTTGGACTGTCCGGAGGCCGGTCTGGTTGGGTTTGGGACGATTTTCGGTGCCTCTCGGGCGGTCTCGTACGCCCGGAAGACCGAAGAACCGAGGTTCCAAGAATCTCTGAACAACTATGCGAAAATCAATGTTTTTTTGTCGCATCGAGGTGCAAATCGGAGTGCTCTTTGGGCCGTCTTCGGGCGCACGGTGGGTTCATGGAGCCGCTTGGGGCCTTCGCAGGGCCGTTTTGCCACCCTCCTGACCGCTTTGGGCCCGCTGGCTAGGCCCGGCAAGGGCGTCCAGGTGGACCGGAGGCCCAGGGGACCCCTTGCAAGAGCGTCCGGGGGGGTCCGAAGATCCCCAGATCCCGGGGGTACGGATTTACCGGGGGGGGGGGGGTCCCAACCCCCCCGGGTTGTAAAAATATAGAAAAGGGAATATAGATATACAAGACTGCAGTGGCGCTTCGCGCCATGCACCCTGGTCCTTGAAGTTTGGTGCGCAGGCGGAAAAGCAGGAAGGTCAAGCCGACAATTTAGCGATAAC